AGAAAGAAAAGAAAATAGAAAGAAGAAAAAATAGAAAGAAGAGAAAATAGAAAGTTCAAAAATAGAAAGAAAGAAATAGAAAGAAAAAACTTTCTAAATCAATCCTTCCACAATCCTAGGAATATATACAATTCTATTTTCAGATCTGAACCAGTAACCCCACGTTTTCCAACAAGAAGCAGTAGAACACAAAAGGCAGAAGCTTAATGTTCTGCCGCCGCCACTTTAATTAATATTTTTAGGTTATACTCATTACATGGAAAGGACAGATCTGCCCTTAGTCTTTACATAACAAATRRAGCAAAAATAAGACTGAAATAAATAACAACTGAAACAACTAAATGACCAATAGCTAACCCTAGGAAGACTAGAACACCTTCTACCCTACAAACACAGTGGGATCGTAGCTGTGGGGCCCACATCAGTGTTCTCTACAGTTATTATTTATCAAAAAAAAAGTTTGTATGGTTATGATTTATGCCCATTTTATCAAGAAATATATATTAATATATTTATTTTTTATTTAAACATTTCCTTCAAATTTTCTATCAATATTATTATATTAATATGCTAACATATATATTGACATGTCACATGACTGGATTTTTTTTAATTTCTTTGGTTGTTGTGTTGCTTTTTATGAAGTTTTGTGTTGGAGAATGCCAAGGATCCATCTAACTATTTTGGTATAATATTCTTGAGAGGAATGGGATGTGCAATGGTCCATTTCTTATTATCATCCATGTATTGAGGCTGAGGAGCTAGCTTGTTAAGATCATGTAACCAGCCATTTAAACGAGTGCTTAAAAATAACATTTCCTCCTCTAATTTTTTCTGTTTATTTCATCACCATTTCTTGAACAATAGAGATATTTTCACCAATGAAATGACCCACAACAAGAGCTCCTTGCTCAGTTGAAATGGTATGGGGAAGAAGACTAGGCTTAAGACTCTTGGTAAGAATTTTTGCAAAAACTTTGTAGAAAAAGCTGCAAAGGCTTATAAGCTGAAACTCCGTAAAATTTTGTAGGATTCGCCACTTAAGGAATTAGAAGAATAAAGGTGGAAGTGTAATACCTTGGGAGAGATTTGGTGATGCATATCTCTCTAATAGCATTGCACACATCTTCACCAATTATGCTCCAATAAAAAGTAAAGAAAAAGCCATCAAAACCATCTAAGCCTAGTTTCATGTTTATGTTTGGAGAAGGTCATTACACAATGTTGGTCCCAGCTATCTGGGGTCTTGGGAGAGGTGGACTGGATACAAACCTAACCTTTGGCCTTTTTTTTTGTATGAAGCAGCTGCTTTCAGACTTAAGCTTGCATTAGCACAATTGTCAGCTTGAGATTTTTACCATTACACCATATAAGTCAGTATTTTTTGTCTACATAAATAATAGTTATCATCTTACATGCATTTTGATGCAGGTGAAAATTTAAACTACAGCATTATATAACTATCTCTCCCCCCTTTCTTTGTCTTGGTCTTGCAGCTCTCTCTCTGTATTTGCACTTCATCCACTATATCTCCGAGTCCAAGCACTTTCAGAAAATATACCAGAAGATATTAAGGTGCTCTTGTTTTATCATATGAAGAACAATAACTATGCCCTTTCTTCTTATTATTGCATAATTCTTATTTAAATTCAATGTGAACAAAGATATACACTTTTTTGTCTATCTTGATAAACTACTTTTAAATTTTCCCCTGCAGCGAGAGATTTTAAAGGCAAAAGAACAACTGGATGGAAAGGTAATGCCTTCTTGCCCAGGTTGTCATGAGAAGAGCTCAGTTGTTTATGGATCCTAATTTTACACCATATATTTAAGTCTTGTTCCAACTATATGGGAGTGGCTATATTAATCTTGTTTCACCGTTTTGTTCTGTTAATTTTACACCATATGTGATGATGATTATCAGATCGAAATTGCTTTGTTTTCTTCCAAAACTATGTCTCAATCATTTTATAAAAAAAACGTAGTAATCTTTGGAACTTCATCACATCTTTTTATAAGATAAATACATGTACATTTTGAGTAGTGGTCAATAAAACTGATAACCGAGCAATTATAATCCACAGAAACAATAGGGGAGGGACCCCACACATGAAAGTGGACTATATCTAATGAAGCAGTGATTTTATTCATTAAATTTGGATAAACAGTTCTACAATGTTTGGATAACTGATGGCTTCACAAGCAAGACTATCAATGGAATTTCCCTTAAATAACTCTAAAAGCAAAGCTTAATGACAGGTGACCTAGTCTAGCTTGCCAAAGATACACCTTTAGTTTGACTCTTTCTTTTTACTACAACTACCACTAGATGGATGAAGAGCTATCTTCTTTTTTGTTTGATAAATGAAGAATTTATTAATATCAAAAGATTCAAACAATAGAAGCAGCCCTTGGAGAGACGTGGGATGCAACCTCTCCCAATAATGTGATTAAAACACGACAGATTACTGATAATATAATTTACAACTAAGCCCAATACAATTGATCTTTATTCACCCCTTGCTTGGTTAAAGAATCAGCCAGTGCATTAGCCGATCTCCCCACCTTTTGTATTCTCAAATTCATATTCCTTGTTAACCACATAAATTTTTTAAACTCATTTCTTGGTACCAGAGCATCCCTTTTCTTTTTTCTTATTCTTCAGCAACTCTATACACATCTTGATTAGCTATGTACGTTGAAGGATAGAGTGCTGACCATTGTTCTACTGTTATCGCCTAGTTGGAAGGTGGTTTTGGAGACCTTTTGTCGCTATTGACATTGGAAGAAAGTCTCTTGTAGTTTTGTATTCCTTACTCAAACCCTAAACTGACTAGAGTAAAGAGGAGATAGTCAAGATGAGGATCAAAGAGGCTGATTGAGCTTGGTGCTTGGCATTTATCGGGTTTCTTTTCAACCCTATTTGAGATCGATTCAGGTAGGAGAGGTTTCTAGGAAGCCTGTTTGGAGCAGCTGCTTTTTCTCTCCTTCTCTTGGGATTGCAAGGTTGTGAAAACCCCTAGAATTGGTGTTCCCCTTGCTTGTCGTATTTTGTGTTCAGGTTGTTTTTATTTGCTTCCAAATTATTGTGTATTGAAGTTTTGTATTGATGGAACAATCTGGACTCTGGATTAGAGATCAAGAAAAACAAAGAATTTGGACTTGGTTCAGCAGGGTCTGTAGACACCCTACGAGGTGCTATGACCCCAGTAAAGCTAGATGGAACCAACTATTTGGCTTGGTGACAATCTATGAATATCTGTACAGTTGGGGAAAGTTGGGATATCTCACTAGAGATGTAAATCCCACCTATAATAATCTGAAATAAAGTAGAAGAGAAGAAGAAGATGGAAGAAAAGGAAGAAAGAAAGAGAAACAATCGAATACCCTTAGTAGGGTGGCCAGCACTAAAAACAATAATAAAAGAAATAAAACAGGCCCATAACTGAGGCCCTCTAATCACAAATATAAAGCATAACCAGAAAATAGTAAACAATAATAAACTATGGCCCATTTGGCCATCATTTCTACACTCCCCTCAAGCTGAGCATAGATATCAATCATGCCCAACTTGCTTACATAGTGCTGTAACTTTGCCTTAGGGACACCCTTGGTCAAAACATTTGCTAACTATTGCAGGGAAGACAAACTTCTCTAGAAGCCACTCTTTTTCTTATAAGATGCTGGTTTATTTCAATGTGTTTTGCCCTATCATGTTGATTGTGAGCTATGTTAATTGCAGCTTGGTTATCACAATACAACATTAAGGGCTTATCATATGCTATACCCATCTCCTCTAGAAGTGACTTGAGCCATAACAACTTTGAAACTTTATGGGTCGTGGACTTATACTTTGCCTCGACTGAAGATCTAGCTACTACAAACTACTTCTTACTTCTCCAAAAGACAATGTTCCCTACTTACCAGAGCACAGTAATGCATATCTTCTATCATCAATACTACTAGCCCAATTGGTATATATTATAAGCCTCTAGCTTCATGTGTACATGCCTAGAGAAGATAATACCCTTTCCCAGAGTTCCCTTCAAGTAACACAAAACCCATTATGTAGCAACCATATGTGTGTCTTTGGGGGCATGCATAAACTGACTAATCACACAAACAACATATGAAATATCTAGCTGTGTCGTACAAAGATGTAGTAACTTTTCCAAAAGTCTTTGGAACATTCCCCTGTCTACCAAGATCTCACTATCATTAGCTGAGAGCATATGGTTGGCATCAATAGGAGTAGAGATAGGTTTGGCACCAAGTTTTCTAGTATCAGTAAGAAGATCTAACACATAGTATTGTTGGGAGATGAAGATACCATCTTTAGACCTTACAACTTCAATTCCCAAGAAATATCTCAACTCCCCCAAATCCTTAATTTCAAATTCTGAATTAAGGAAGTTCTTGAGTGCCTGAACTTCCTTTGTATCATTGCCTGTAACCATCAATATCATCAATTAAGGAAGTTGATTGTCACTTCGTGAGAGAAAAAATGACAAGAGGTGATTTTTTTACTCTTTATCTAAAATCAGTAGACCAACTGGCTGACATGTTCACTAAAATCTTAAGCCGTACCAAGATGGATTACATTTGTAACAAGCTGGAAGCCTGGAACCCTTTAGGGGGAGTGTTAAAGTTTATTATGTAAGGGTAGAATAGTCTTTTTCTTCTTCAATATCTTGCACCTCACTCTTTCTTGCAAGTGTCACTTAAATAGGGGCATAATTACAATATTCTCTTTAGTTAAGAAGGAAAATAGAAGTTAGGTCAGCAACTAGTGAGAAATGATTTGAATCTCTTACCTGAAAACCCTTTTCTCTTCTCTTTTCATTTCTATTACTCTTCCCTTTTTCTTCTTCTCACTATTTTTATTTATTTTTCTAGTTTGAACTGTGACCTACCGATTGACTGCTCGGCAAATCTACAAAAGCCTGTTATGAACTTTCTATTCAACCCATGCAATTGCATGGGTTTACTCGCTAGTAGCCTCTAATGTTGTAGTTGTCAACCTTGATTTTCTCTAGTTTTCAAAGTTAACTTTTCTTTCAGGTTTCTAAAATCTATTTTCCATACAATGGAGCTTGTAGCCAGTGTTTTCATTCCACTATGCTTTTTTTTTTGTTGGTAATTGTAACTTTATTAATATGGAAGTCCACCATGCATTCATGGTTCAAAGTATCGATATGCCTCTGTATATTGGCAAAGGCAAATTGGTACTTAGATACACGCGGAAATACTTTTTTGTTTTAGTTTCTTTTTCAAAATTTGGTTTTTGAGAAGATATTTAAGCATATTTTTTATTAAAAAAGAGTGGAGTCCTGAAACACCTGTAAATAGGTGTATCAGACCCCTAAAGATACAATAAGATATGCCCGACGGGGTGTATCGTATCGAAATTTTGAACCTCGCATCCAATTGAATAGCAACATGAGGAGCATTGGTACTTGGTACTTTGGTAGTTCTCTCATAGGCGTTGCACTTTATTCTCTTTTCCTTTTATTAACAATTAAGCTAGTTTCAGGAAGTGTTTGAAGGATTAATGGTCAAGTTTCCTAATTTCTATTTAAATTTTAGAAAAGAAAAGAAAAGAATATGGAAAGGAGTAGGCCTTACTTGGCATTAAAAAGGTATATTTCTATATTTATTATAGTAAGATACGTGAATCCTCTAACTTTATTTCCATATTATTTCTGTTGTGTTTTTTCCTAATATTTAGGGGATTTGGGGCAATCTAATTCCCCAAGGAGGCTTTTTGCACCCAAAGTTCAAGGTGCAAATTAAAAAAAAAAAAGAGCAAAAGAAAAAAAAATCAGAAAATGCATGCAGAAAGCCTATTGGAAAAATATAATATAATTCCCAAAGGAGGCTTTTGGAAAACTCGAGGTCATAAAGGAGGAATTAGCCAGGAAAATAGAGGAATTGGACCAAAAGGAAGCCTGTAAAGAGTGCGGGCCAGAGGATAGATTAGAAAGATGGAACTTAAAAGTGCAACTGGAGGAGATCTTGAGGAAGGAAGAAATTTCTTGGAGACAAAAATCAAGGTGTAAATGGCTTTTGGAGGGGGACAGAAACACCAAAATTTTCAACTCACTAGAAAATGGGAGAAGAAGGAAAAAAAAGCAAATCTCTAGCATTGAGGTGGAGGGAAGAGTAATAAATTCAAAGGAGGAAATTAAAAGGTGCTTTGTGAATCATTTCAAGTCAATCCTTGCCTCCTTAGTTGAAAGCAATTTGGAATTGCTAGAATTACATTGGGATAGAGTGCCGGAATCCAAAGCTGCACTCTTAGAAATAGTTTTTAGTGTAGAGGAGGTCCATGAAGCAATTTTCTCGATGGATAGATCTAAAGCTCCGGGGCCATATGGTTTCTTAATGGCTTTCTATCAAGATTGTTGGGAAATCTTAAAAAATGATTTAATGGATGTCTTTGTTGAGTTCCATCAAAAAGGGGAAATATATCTAGGAGCAAATGCAACTTTTCTTGCTCTAGTGCCTAAAAAGAAAGAGGCCAAAACCCCTAAGGACTACATACATATAAGTCTTGTGGGTAGTATGTATAAGATCATTGCAAAAGTTATGGCTGGCTGGCTAAAGGTTGTCTTGTCCTTTGTCATTTCTCAGAACCAAGGAGCTCTTGTGGAAGGGAGACAAATATTGGATCAAATCTTAGTGGCAAATGAGGTAGCGAAGAAAAAACAAAGTGGCAAAGGCTTGATTTGTAAATTGGACCTAGAGAAAGCCTAC